AAGTGAGTGAACATTAACTAAATCTTTTCTTTACAAATTATTCATGGCCTCTGTTGATCAGATAATTTAAGAGATGCTTGCTTTGAATCAGTAAAAGATTTCCTAAGGGTGAGGAAAGGAAATCAATGCAGGCACAGTTAACTCCCAATTCTTCAAAGAAATTTCACGTTGTTTTGTGTGGTCTCTATCAAGTTCTTGCAGACAGCTTTGAAGCCAGAAGCCAATGTCCACTTCTAAGCCATGCATGGGACTCACCCTTCATAAATGCAAATCCTTCAGAAGTATCTTTTCTTTTGGACTCACCGGCCTCGAATTCCACTCCTAAATGAAATGAGAAAAGCAGTGAAGTGGGCATTCTGGGCATTTTTAAATACATGCGATTACTGTAGGTTAGCTCTGACTCGTATGTGAAAATAATAGAACAATTTGTGTATGAATTAAGGCCTATTTACTTGAAAAAGAGTTTTTTTCACTCTACTATGAAAACCTAAACATTATAAATGGAACAAATGTACACATGAAAGCTGATCACGTAATGATAAATATCTGTACTTGGCTTTGTAGTAAGATTACAAAGTATTCTGATAGGATTATGACTATGAGACTCTAAATAACATTATATATACTATACATTCATATTCATGCTGCATATTTGTACTCATTAAGTTAGATTAAAATGAATCTAACTATGTTTTCATAAAAGAAAGTAAAAGTACAACAAAACTACAACAAATTGACTTAATGACAAGAGTAAGACCAAATGATTCTTGTAATTAAAAGCTTTAGGAAACAAATAGATCTTTAACAATGACGTTGGAGGCAAAGTTTATATTTTATTATCCACAAAAAGACAATTATGTGCTCTCTGTGCCATTTTTCAGTTATCTTTGATATAGCATGAATGAAATATTCTTTAGAGAGAACTCTCTTTTTTTTTTGCTGAAGTACATTATCTGCACCACTTTTTTCTAAGGTCAAATAAAAAATGTACTTATTTTCCAAAATGGTGTTCTAGTGAAAGCAAAGCTACACATTTGATAATTGCACTCCTTTTAAACCCTGCATTTTCCCTTGGTGTGCCCGGTTCGGGTTTTATTATTACAGTATTTTTGTACAGAAACATTCTTCTTGAGCAGAAACAATCCCAAACCACCCTGTGAAAGCTCACCAAGATTAACCGATGCCATAAAAGGCAGACATGGAGGACTCTTGGTTTAATGGGACTGTTCCTAAGCAAGCAACAGCGTTTCAAAACTTATTTCACGGGTCACAGCCTGCAAAATAAAAGCTGTTTGTAAAAAGTCCAGTCAGCCTGTGTTTGAGAAGGGCATGCTGTGCATGGACCACTTCAAAACAAGAGCACACTGCCTGCCGGAATTTGTTATTACATGCTTCTAAATTGCAGAAAATTGAAAGTACAAATGAAATGTCCACTAGATTAATAGTGTTTGAATTACAGAGTCCTCAATTGGATAGCAGATCAAAGGCCACAGTTACATATCCTAAAGCTAACGCTAAACCATATCTGGAAATGGAAATCAGTGAACAGCCAGATCACTGTTAGACACTAGATTGGTGAAGTAATGGATTTTGTCGGATTAAGCGTTTGCTAAGATTGGCATTAGCTTTGATTTTTTTTTCCACTGCATAGAGTAGCTACACAGAGTCCATTAAAATTAACTATCCACTTGTTCTTAGTGGGACATTAAACTAAGGTTTTGCAAAAGTAACATTTGTTTCTTGTCAGCGCTGAGATTTGTCTTTTGGGCTAAAGTGCTTTCTAAACATACCGGGACACCAAAGGCAAAATTGTTATTTTTGCTTGACAGTCAAGCTATTTGTATTTGTGATCATGAAATTTATATGAATGTAAAACACTTTATAATACAAGTTTTAGTTAGGGTAAAACTCTGCATGCATTTGAATATATTAAAAAACATTTTGTGTTCAACCCAGTAATTTCCCATAAGTATTGTGATATATTCACTTCACTAGTATTCACTAATATTCACTAGTACATTTCAGAGTGTAACGGTTACATGATGAAGAATAAATTGAAGTCAGGACACCCTAGGAATAGTCAAGAAGTCAAAGTGGCTGTCGTACGGGCTTGTCAAAACACCTCAGATGATTACACAAAGGGTTTGATGAGTCCAGTGGGTCACAGATTTAACTGAATTATTGCCTCAGAGGAATATGCAATCAAATATCGACTTTCACGCTTAAAATCATCTCATGTTTGTACTTGCGGTCATCAGAAAATTGCAAAGTATGTTTTGGCTCTAATTAGATCAAATATGTGCATTGAATTATCCCAAAACAAAAAGTATATGTAATATATACTACTTTGTACTTATTATTCACATTCAGCTCATGATCACAGATACAAATTGTACATCTATAAATAAAAAAAATAACAGTTTTGGCTTTGATGTCCCAATATACAGTATATATACAGTATCCTTGAAGGTATCACAGCTTGTCTTCTATTAAGAAAAATTGATCAGCAAGGCTGGCTTTCTAGTGTCTCATCTACCCCTATTATAAAATCTGCCCTGTGAACTTTCTGGAAATACTTGTTTTGTCAGTACGTTTCCAAAAGTGAGCAGTGATTGGCTGAAATGTTAAAAATCTGACTCACACTAAAATCTAAGAACTGCCCTGCCTCTGCCTTCCAGCAGCAACTCCTAGTCGAAAAAGATACAGTGATAACAACAACTCATAGTGTTGGCCTTGTGCTTCTCTTGGCAGATGGAGATGCGCTCTCAAGACCAGATGCTGATTAAGCAACTGATGGATCTCCATAACGGCATACAGGAACTGAAGCTGGAGTGTGCCGACCTAGAAAATATTGAGTCGGAGAGCGACACTGAAGATGGTAGTCTTTACTCCAGCTTTGGGGAAGTATGCTCTAGCCCAGCCTTCTCTGGCAGGGCGCAGCCTCAAGGCTCACCCAGACGGAGCTCAAGCAGACGAAGTTCTATGCCTTAGCGGGTCTCACTCGAGGGGTAACAGCATACTACTGAACTCTACCGTATTCAAATGAGCAACCCTTGCCTTAGCTACTCCACAAGACTCCCACCTCCTGTGGTGTACAATCAGCCTTCTGCACGAATGTCTGCGTCAGGCCCTGCGTAAGACTGAGCTACAGAATGTGATTGTATTTGTCTCTACTCCATTTTGGAATTGTTGTGTTGCAAACATATCCCCATATGTCAGGGCTGCCCATTGTAATATGGTAGTGCTCTGTGAGTCTGTGAATCTTGATCTGCTCAGCCCTTTTCATCTAACCTACTGTGCACATAACTTTCTTTGATCAGTGCTGCTACCAGGTGTTTATGCAACGCCCATGTACGATTTGGTTAAAATGTGTTTTGGTGTTTACTGTATATACAGTATATTGGTTACATTTAAAAAGAGTTGTGTTTGATTCACTATAACTGTACTCAATTATAACACTGTCCATTATTTATTACTGTACGTGCAGAGCATGGTGCCAATGTTAAGGGAATAATCTGTTGTTTTTTTGTTCATTTTGGATTAAGATGTTCAGCAGCACTTTAGTTGAAAACCACTACATGTAAAGCCAATAGTAACTTTGTCCACATTCAGAATACCACCATTTCTCATTCTTTTTTTAGACATAACCTTCGTAAATAAGTAATTGTTAATATTGTAAACAACTGAATGAAGATAGATTTTTTTTAGATTGTCAAATTGTAGTGTTATCAGTGGCGAAAAGGAAAAAGTGTTATGAGAAGTGACAACATTTACAAGCAAAGAGCCTCAGGGCATCTGCTTGAATGGGCTTCCTAGGAGAGTTTGTTTAACACCCAGAACACATCGACGAGTGACAGGTGGACATGTTCACTGCCATTTCTAACTGATTGTTGACAGATACTCTCCACATAGCTGCAGGGCTTGATTCTGTCAAGTAATAAATACTTTGAAACATGTCTGCTTTGTGGTTTCTTGAAAAACACTGGAGTGTCATTAATCTGTCATGTGTTACATGATATTCTCCACTTTTTTAGAGCTTCTCCGGTTTTGCAATTACTTAAACATCAGATTTAAACCGATATTTAGGACAGTTGAAATCATTGCATTTCTTTCTCTCTACTTTTCAATGTTGGAATTAAACTCTATTGGCTCCTTCGCAATTGGTACACTGACACAGCATTTCTCGACTTTTCTTTTATTTCATTTTTTTCCTCCACATTTTAATGGATGACTGCAGATATTAACATCAAACTTTTGAGTTAGGTATAATAGCATATATTGGTACATTTTGGCACAACCTTATAAAACAACTGCTCACCAAGCTTGTCAATGTATGACGAGCGAACTTCAAAATGGACCAAGTTGTTCTGAAAAAATGACCTTTCTCATTAAAATGACCTTTCTCATTCAGACTTAAGTTCACTTACTGTTATACTCTTTTAAAAACCAATCTTGAATGAAAATGTCCTTCACCATGACTACTGAGCAATAACAGCTAAAACTTTTGCGGTTAGTAGGGTTACTCATGGATTAGGATGTTTAGTAGTGTTGTGTAGTAAGTGTTGAATAACACAAAACCCTTCAAGACTTTGTCATTTTGTAATGTTTTATTTATCTAGTACAGACTGAAAAGATATAGTTTTGAGTAATTTCGTAGTCCCATGCTTCAGAAAATAGTAAAAGAGTTAATGATAGGTTTCTGCAGGCTTAATTGTAAAATTGTAATTTTTCCTGTACCACAAAGTTATTTATTCATTTTTCTGCATCATTTAAAAGCACGATGCTTAATATTTCAATTGTTATGACTTAAATGACATTAAAAAGTGCCCTGACATGGAAGTAGAAAAGAAGCAACATTAGAGTTTTAATGTATTATTTTCTTGTCCTCAGATTCATTGTTAATGCAAGATGCTACATTAAGCAGATTGAGTTAAAAAAATTGAAGGTTTATAACAAAGCTTTTCTGAAAAAAAAACTTTTGTTCAACAGAGGCTCTATATATTTTTTTGATCATGCTATTCTTTGTGTTCTATTCTTTTTTTCTTGGTTTTGAATACCTCATTGTCTTTTTAATACCACCAAATGCCTGATGTTGTGGTCTAAAGATTGTTGAAACTTCTATTTCCTTTGTTGAGATAAAATCACTGCAATTGACAAACCTTACCATCAGAGCTTGTTGGGAATTTGGCTTCTAAGCCCAGAGCATTTTTTTTCTTACCTAAGAAAGCTCCTGATTAGCTGGCATCTCTGCAGCTCTTTGATACAAACCAGTCCCTTCGTTTTTATCCTCTTAGAACCCTTTAGGAAGACCTGGGTTAGCATAATGCATAATTCTACCCAGAGAAAACTGATGTACATGGAACCCAGGACAGTAGTACACCAAATTCTATTTTCATGTAGTTGTAAAGTGCATGTTCACAAAAGATATTTAGCATTGAAAGTGTGCTAAAATTCTGAATGAAGTTGAGAGTAACACACAGGTTATTACCTTTTTTAATATAATGTGTTTATATTACATATTAAAGTTAAATGTCAGTGCTGACATAGAGTCTAGTATTCATTATACCAGAAGCAGGAACATCTGTTTCCTGCCGACAAGTGAAATGTTGGATTTTGTGGCCTCAAATAAACAGAACATTTCAGAGGCTGTGGACTGCTAGAACAGATTCACAAAACATACAGCAACCAAGATTAGTCAATGTGAGTAGATAATAGTAAAGTCTCTTCATGAACAATCAAGTTCTATGTCATATTGGTATGCCACTGAGGTAAAGACAACATGAAGAAGAACATTCATGACACACTTAAGAGCCTTTGCAATTGACACACTGACATATTTTAATTGGGCCTCTATAAGGGATTTATGAGCCTGTATTGCATTGTAGCACATTATGCCAGTTTACTACTCAGTAGTCAGGATAAGGTCACATAACAGAAACAATTAAATGCCTGGCTTCTTCAGCGCTTCTGTACAAGAGACTGCCTGTTGTCCATCTCATTAGCTTGGAGAGCATTGCCGTTAAAGATGACATTTTCTTTTTTCTCTGGACTGAACGGCTCATTTTCACGTCTGAGCCTCTGTATTTCGCTGTTTATGTCCAGCAATCTTTTAGCAAGCTGTCTGTCTTGGGAACGCATCTCCAGCTGTATTTCGAAAAGAGACAGAAAAAGAAAAAAAGTGTTACAGCTCAATTGATGGTGTAAAGGAACTCAAGAACATTGCATATATAAAGTTTGTGGAATACTACAAAAATAGAAGACATCTTTTATCTTGTGATTATGAGAAGACTGGTTGTAGTGTGTCAGACAGTCTTTTACATCCTATGACTGAGGAAGAAACTGTTGAACTTGTCACCGTTAAAGTGAAAAGACTTCCAAATCTACTTCCACACATTCAAGAGTCATTTTCTTATTTCTACATAAAATATTATTATAATAATAGTACTAATTGCTTACACTTATATAACTCTTTTCTGGACACTCCACTCAAAGCGCTTTATAGGTAATGGGAACTCCCCTCCACCACCACCAATGTGCAATTATTATATTGTATAGGATTCTGAGAAAGTATGGGGTAAACAAGCAAAGGCAACAGTTTAACATCGTAGAGCATCAGTTTAAAGTCCATTTAATTTCTTAAAACTTCACTGTGTTCTTTTGCATACAATGTACAGTGGAAAGTTTATTATTAGTACTAGCCATTATAGCAACAGCAGTTTTAGCCAATCAAACTTCCACCCATCTGTGATTTGCCATAAGACATGAAAACATATTTTTTAAGATCTGCAGCAATGAACATTGTCAGAGGCACCAAAAAGTTTTAAACACCTCTGATCGATCTTAACTATTTTAATTGTATATAATTGTGCATTCTCTAACTTGTACATAAATTATTCACAATTCAAAAGCACACTGGCTGCATATCAAAATGTTCTGCATCTAGTGTTTGTTAAACATTTTATGGTACTGTTTGTCTAATTTGACATGCCAAATTCTTGTTGCTTGGAGTTGTTGCTTATCTAGAGGAAAATAAAAGTTCAACTCCGCATTTTCAGCTTTAGAAAAAAATCTAAATGCAACTGTCAATACTCTGGAAGTAATTCTGCACTTAATCCTGCAGTGTTAGGAAATAATGTTCAAAGATTGCGTATGCATTTTGTGATTAAAATATAAATAGTTTTATTTATCCTGAAAAACAGGGGCAAATGATTTCCTGAAATGCCTTCCTCATTGCAAATGAATATTAGTGCAACAGAATGGCAAAGAAACTTTTTTGCAAACAGCATTTCATAAGGCTGTGTGAGTCATAAAGGAATCTAAATATTTTTTAAAATGTTCACACTCTGAATGAGGAGCATAAGAGATGTCTTCATTTATCTAGACGAAATTTTAATCACATTTTGGTCTTTCCATTTGGTCAAACTACAAAAATGGAAAAACTGAAGCTCTCATTTTACGGCTTTTTTCAAAATGTACTTAGATCTCGAAGCTTTTGAAATCCCTATTTTTTATACATGTACTTTTTAACTGTCAGCCACGAAAAGCAAATCAGTTTACTTACCAGTTCAGATCTTAGCCAGGTTATTGCTCCGTCTATTTTAGCTCTCCTGAGCTCCTCGTTGACCTGGAAGTCTCTTCCAGCAGTACTTGCAACATTACTGCCAGGACAAAGGGCTGGTACCTGCTCTCCTGTTCCCCTGAAGGCATGGATCAGTTTGTTTTTAATGTTTTCTAACACCATGGCGGAGACAGTGTCTTCATACTGAGTCTCGGAATTCATCGTGAGCGCAGATGATGCAGGGGGCTGTCAGGACGGGGAGTCATTAAGCTGAGGGCAGAGACTGAGTGAAGTTTGCCTTTGTCGTCCGTACAAGTGCCCCTCTGTGATTTTGTTTCTTTCTCAGCCCTCGGGATGTTTGCCACCATCCAAACCCTGCCACAGCTGCGACTACCTTTCCAGCTCGAGTTCACGTTGGAATATTTGACTTGTTGTCAGTGGAGAGACTCCACCGAGGAGACTTTTCTACCTTGCTTCTTCTTTTACAGCCTTTCACGTCTCTTCATAGTGTGGTACTAGCTTGTTTTGCAACTGTTACTATGGAAAATCCCTCCCCCCCCCCACCCCCATCCCTCCCCTTCAATCCTCTTTTGAGTGGTGGTGGGAAATGTGGGACAAAGCCTATTGTTGCTTCCCGTATTGAAAAGCCCTTTCTCTCTCTTTACAACAAAACTGGTTTGAGCCTCTCAAAAGGGCAAGATTGTGACTCTTATGCGATAGTGGGCAGGGAGGGTGAGGTGGGGGATAGCTGTGATGGTGTCAATGGATTTTTAGTTGTTACCTCAGACCTGGCATCACCAATAAAGGCAGTATGCTGCTGTGACTGACAGGTCAGGACGGATAAGTACAAAGGCTTGGTGACGCCCAGTCAACAAAGGAACAAAACACACAGACCATTGTAATATCATCAGGCTATGTGTATCAAGTAAGTCTATGCCCCTACAGGGACAAGAGCTTTCCTAATCTGTTCGCAAATAAGGGAGTATTTCTCATAAGGAAATCCCAACGAAGAAACAGCCTTTCACAATTTGAGAGACAGAGCTGGGAGCCATAAGTACAAGTAAGGCCCTTGCATGTACATTGAGACCCAAATTTAAATTCATAACAGTGAAACCTCATTGTAATTAAGTAAAATATTTCTTGCAATAATTGAATTTGCAGGTATGGAACAAGGCCTTTTGAATTGTTTTCTGTTTAATACTTGCCCTTGCGGGGAAAAAAAAGAGTCATTGTCTGCTTTTCTATGTGCCAGGACCTCCCTTTTTCAGCATTATTTCTCCTCTAAGGGCTGGTAAGGCTCCAGACTATGCTGACCTGTTTAAAAGCTACACACTTCAAGGGCGTTTCACCCAAGACTGTAGTGAAAACTCATTACTAAGAGAAAAAAGTTACTCATATACAGTAACTGCCTGTAACTAAAATGCAGCCCATATGTGCTTTTTTTGTGCATAGATCCATTTTCATCCCTAATGTGTCAGGCCTGCAGAGACACAAATCTTTAACCAGACCCAACTGCTATTACAGTCTTACCATGTCAAAAAGGGAAAGTTTACTATACGAAAACTCAACTGCAGAGCTGCTCAAGTGTGGTACTCAAGGGAACCATGACCTGCATGTTTTGCAGGTTCTCTTAAAACATTAGCACAACAAAGCATTAGGAAAGTGGTCACATAAAGATTTAAATGGGCTACCCTTACAGTCCTGGAGTTGAAAAAAACCTTGCAGACCAATAGTCTCCAGTTCTGGTCCTGCAGAGCCGGTGTGTCTGGACGTATTCTTCTCAGCTCAGACGAAAGCCTGGCCTGGAAATTATGTCTGTTAGTTCTCGGAGTGGTTATGGAGCATAATATGTCAGTATTTACTCATATACTGTAAGGTGGCGATTAAGTTAAATTTGAAATTTGATTTGTGGGCAATCACAAAATCCCCATAGATTCCTGTGGCTGGAAGGTTGCCAGTTTGTATCCTGTGGCCGGCAGAGGAATCCTACTCCGTTGGGCCCCTGAGCAAGGCCCTTAACCCCAGCTGCTCCAGGGGCGCCGTATAAATGGCTGATCCTGTGCTGTAACCTCAAGCTTCTCTCCCTCTCTGTGTGTCTCATGGAGAGCAAGTTGGGGTATGTAAAAAGACAAATTCCTAATACAAGAAACTGTATATGGCCAATAAAGTGATCTTATCTTCTCTCTCTCTCTTAAGATTACCATTGTCACATATTAAAACCTTTCTAGGCCTTCTTAAAACTTTCACACAGCTTGCCGTAACAAGTGTAACATATATAATCGGAAGTCTGAGCATACACATCAGATTGGACTCAAACAATTAATAGTAATAGTGTAGTAGTATAATTTGCAGACATTTAGTTTTGAATTTCCAGCAAATATGGATTTTCATGACACCACAAGTCTTTGTTGAGAAGTCAAAAGAAAACTAAACAAACCCCTTTTACTCATTATTTTGGATATTACTTGAAAATCTACTTTTTTCCAATGCTAAATTTCAGAGGCCAAGAAACAACAAAATTGTTCTGCGTAACACTTGGTAGTTGTTCATGATTTAGTACATGCTAATTAGTCATGAACAACTACATAATAAATGTTTAATATGCAGTTCTTAAAACAAAGTGTTACCAACAGTCTTCTTAAAAGTCGGGCTTTTTTTTGGTCATTAGCATCTTACATTTTGAATGATGTTAAATATATAATACTATATATAGAAATAATCTATACTACATACCTGGGATATGCGCAAGACCAGAAAAAATCCTCTGAACTCAAGAATTACAAAATCGTTACCACTTAAATAAAAACAGACATCTTGTATTTTGACATTTTAATGTACAGTATGCAAGTGGTTAAATAATTATTTCTTGTCACAGTATTGTGTTTTTTCGTAATATTTATTTAGACAAGTTTCTCTAAAATATTAGAATAAAATATCACAGTGTCGTAAAGAGACATCACTTACAGTTTTAGTGATGTGGCATGAATAATTTTGTGATTAATGATATATTGGAATACATTATAAATACAAACAATATGGATCAAAACATAAATTAGAACTGGCCAAAAACATGTTTGATCCATGTTTGGTGTTAGCTTTCTTTTATTTTTATTTATTAGCAGACACCCTTATCCTGTGTGATCTGGAGTGTTTTCCAAAATTTCACAATACATGCAGGTACAGAAGGAAATGGTAGATATGGTTACAAATAAATGCAAGTACAACGCATTTGTAATAAAGTAAGAACAATTATCACAGCACAAAAAAATAGTAACGTTACTACAGAAACACAGGTGCTGTAGAAAATAAAATATATATTATATGATGTGATATACCTTTTGGAGTTTTGGTCTTGAACATAAATATATTCGAGAAACTTTAAAGTTATAGTATACAATCACTTCACAAAAACTTTGAAACATTAAGATCCTTGTCTAGTTCTTTATTTTGTTAAAATGCTACTATGATTATACACAAACTAACATAACACATTATTGAGTATTTATTCTCCAGTTCGTGAAGTATAGTAGTATCTTCACTTTTCAGGTAAATTAATCATTTATTCAAAAATGAAAAGGCCACATACTTGCAATGAACATGTGCTGCATTTATTGAGTATTTACTGGAAAATCTTATTATCTATGATATTCTTTATTTGCACTGAATAAGTTAAATTGTTTTTTGAAATTGTGCTTTGCATTGTAGTCATGTATTGTGGAATAATATTACTTTTGATGAATACTCAAATACATAACCCTATATATACAGTATAACCTCAAACAGCTTCCCAAGGAATTACCTTTCCAAATTCTGTTCACAGTGGAGTAGTATACAGTTGTCAGAGAGCAAATGCCTTAAAGAAACAGCTCCATTTAACTTGTGATCATTCAAGTGTGAACGTACATCTGAGCTTAAGGTCAGACAACTAAAAAAAAAGGTGACAGTACTCAAGCATCGATAAATGTTTGTCTTTTCTTCCGATCAAGCATCAAGCAAGCAGAAAGAAATTAGTCTCAGCAGTCACTGACCGAAGATTTGACACACAAAAGAAATGGTGTTCTATATCCTTAACTTTCTTATTGTTCACAGACTGGCAATGGGAGACAAAAATATTTCTCAGAAGCCCAACAACCATTGCTGGGATCCCAAAAGTACTATAGACTCAGAATGCTGCTTGCCAAGACATAATGGAAAGTGAATAAAACTAGCAGACAAAAGCCCCACACTGAGCTACACTAGAGTGCCAGTTTATCATCTGGGAACAATATCAGTCCTTTAGGTTCACAACGAAGAAGTGTGTTTTTTTCTTACTTTTTTCCCCACTTGTTTTGTCATACAGTCATGTCGTTAATGCTTAACTTTTAATTTATGCTACATTATTACTTTGTTAAAATTCTGCTGACTCTTGCAGTTTCCCTTACTACTGAGTATTAATGTGTATTCTGTAAGTCTCTAAAGTTTAGAGTCCAGACATTTCTTTAGTAGGAGTTTACAGCACGGATATTAAAAACTGGTTTATATTATAAAACATGAACTGTATGTATTTTTTTTCATTTTTAGTTAAAGGTCTATAAATCAACAGTTAACAGCACATTTAAGCCTGTACTGTATGCTCAAGTTATTTTCTGTTTCATCCTTAACCTGAAGAATGTCCAAAAGTACAGTTTTCTTGCAGGGATGTTCTATTCTGCCGTGGAAAAACTAAATATCAAAGTCTTTCATACACGTGTTAGTTTTCAGAATATTTTTAGAAAGTCCGAAGCCATTCAAAATGTTTAACCTAAAGAATCTAACTCAATTTATCTAAAACGAGCAGCTTAAGTATACCATCAACTTAAATAAGATCTCATTATGCTACTATAAATCTCAGTAAGATATGTATTTACTGCATTTTTAAGACAAGGAATTACTGAAAAATAAAAATGCTTACTGAGATAATTGCAGATCTACATTAAGTATATACCAAGGTTTTGTAAATTTGAAACTTAAACTGTTTTGAAAGTTGAAAAGAGTTGTTATTTGTTCTTGTCCTCATTAAACTTCACAATTGCAGAAATGCTGCAAAGCAATTATCTCTTTCCTCAGAGCAGTTTTTTTGTTCTTTGGAGGCTCAAAAACAGGGACCGACATCTTTCTTACCCAAGTGGTTCTTGTCAAGGTAACACAATTCAAGGAAGTTAGGCCACACAGAGAGCCCTTTTTTGAGAAGGAGACTTTTCCCATTGAAGTGCAAATACAGGTTTATAGTCAAGGTCCTATAAGTGAATGAGAATCTGTGACTGTGTGTGCCCTGTTATGGACTGGAGTCCCATTCAAGGTGTATCCTGCCTTGGGCCTGTTGCTTGCTGAGAAGTATTGGATAAAGCAGTTCAAGCATGGGTGGATGGACATTGCAATTGTGAGTTATTTGTTTTTTGAGAGGTGAAGTGCCAATTTTAAGTAAAAAGGTGGAAGTAAAGACCTTAATGTAAGTATGCTATAATCCAAGAGGTATTAATTATTAAATACAATGTGCAGAATCTACAGTGAAACAGTAATTG